CCAACTCAAAAAAAAAAAAAAAAAAGATGCTCAGCCCTTTCTAGAGACATCTCCCAGCCAGTGTTCTTTGTTCCAGCTCATGGACACAAGCAGTCTGTCCTTCCATTTCAGTTCCATCAACACTGAAGAAAATATCCTTTGCCCAGCCCAAATCATCAGCTTCCCTGACAGGACAAAGATTCCTGTGGGGGGAGGCTGCTTTTCCATGCCAGAGTAGGAGGAGGCTTTCACACTTACCTTGTCTCCTTTCTCTCCCCTTATACCCGGGAAGCCTGGAGTGCCTGGGAGGCCTGCTTCTCCCTGGGATAACAAAATATTCAAGAGTTAACAACAAGAAAGCTGTCTATGGGCCTGGTTGTGGGCCATGGGATCGCTAGTTCCTGCTCTCCAGCCCTCTTGAGATCTTCTGGATTAGAGGAAGTCTCATGTAGAGCAAAGTAGTAGAGAAACGGGCATTTTGGAGACTTTGTGCATCAGGGCTGCCCCAAGCCCTTGTCCACTCTGGCTGTTTTCTTTCCCGGGATCCCTTATTTTGCCTTTCTTGGTGTCTAACTCCTTCTTGTCCTTTAGGACTCAGCCACAGTGTCACCTTCTCACCCCTTCCCCGACAGTCCCCACGTCTGAAAAGCCCTCTCCTATGCCCCCCACACCTGCATGCCACCACTCACTACACCTGTTCAATGGTCAATGTCCAGATTATCCAGGTTCATGGTTGTGACCCCTAATGCTCAATATAGCAATGTAGGACATGCTAATAACTATTAAGTATATAAATGCATGAAATGAATATAATGAGCTCTCCCTGAAACATGCTTCATTCCTCTTGGCCTTTGAAGATTTTACCAAAGACCTGGTGCATAACATCAGATGAATGAATGAATAAATGAATGAAGTGAATGAAAAAAGGCAAAAACAAACAGACCTTCTCTCCAGGCTGGCCTGCCAAGCCCTGCTCCCCAACGTCACCCTGGAGATGGAAGAACAGATACCCCGTTATTGTCTATTCACTTTAAAGAAATGGCTGTCATTCCCAGGTATTCCCACACATTCACTGCACCTCCCAGGCACAGTTCTTAATTTTAAAACATGTAGAGTCTTTACAAGCCCAAGAGTTGTGGGCTTTGAAAACCAAAGTGTTTAGCATATCTGGAGCAAGACATCCATACCCTCTCAGATTGTCTTTTGCTCCCCTCAAAGAAACAACTCCTGAAATTGCCCTGCTAGAGTTTATTCCTCTTGAGTCTAAACACTTATAATTCAAAACAATGCAGAATCAAAATATATAACTCCTAGAGTCACCATGCCTCTGAGTCTTGCTATATGTTACAGAAGCCTAGTCCTCATGCTGGATCAAATGCTGAAGGCGAAGCTGTCAAAGAATCTGTCCAAGTTGCCTGGGCATCCCACCATTATTTTTCAGTTCCTTTTCGTAATCACAAGCAGTCTTAGAGTTAGGTAAGAATTTCCTTTCTCCTTCCTCATGGTGTGTTACAATGAGAGAAAGTTTTGGATGACATTCTGTTAAACATCCAAGCTTAGAGCAGAAGACATGAGCCAATGAAGTATACAGTGGTTCTTGTGGCTTAGAAGTTTTGTCCTCAGCCATGAGATTCCTGCTATGATCTGAATGTGTTCCCCCATGATTCATATGTTGAAACACAACATGCAATGTGGTGGTATTAAGAGGTGGGGGCATTTGAGAGGTGATTAGGTTATTAGGGATCTATCCTCATGGATGCGATTAATGCCCTTATTTTAAAAAAGGCTTGAGGGTGCCCTTGCACCCTTTTGCCATGTGAGAACACAGATACAAGGTATAAGGTGCCACCTGTGAAGCAGAGGGCCCCCACTAGACACCAACTCTGCTGGCACCTTGATTTAGAACTCCCCAGCCTCCAAAACTATAAGCACTACATTATTTTGTTTATAAATTACCCTAAGATGTTTTGTCACAGCTGTATGAAGAGACTAAGACAGTTCCTAATGAGCGCCTTGAGGACAGGTTGAAATTCCGGACACAGGACCAGAGGAACACTGTTCCTGATCCCAAGGCATCTGACTGCTTACCAAGTTCTTATAAATCATTGCTGCAAAGAGGTATGTGATAGTGGTGGTAGTGAGAGACTATAATTTCTAAGCAACCATGTGTCTTCAAAATCATGAACTTCTTGAATGATAATTTATTTCTAACATTTATGATGCTTTAGTGTAGATTTCCATAAGGAAATGTGGTTTCCTGATGAGTGAGTGAACATACAAATGAATGAATGAGCAGGTGGTATGTATGCATGTAAAGATTTTCCCCAAAGTTATGCCAGACTCAATTGGTAGTGAAGGCCAGCACCACCGCCACCATCACAGAGGAAGGCAGAAAAGAAAAAAAAGTAATCAAAAGTGTTGTTTAGGGTAAGCACACATTTTATCGTGTAGCTCTGGTGTCACAACAGAAACTGGCATCTGGAGTTAGCACACATTGAAATTCTAGACACACTCCAATGCTCCCATCAATTCCCAATGTTTACAAGCACAATTAGTAAGAATTGCTCTAACCAGAATTGTGCAAATACTCGTCACTCAAATTGTCGCTTTCAGTCTTCTGGGACTTGCTTCTTATACACTGAGAAAGGATATGGAGGCTGTGTTTGGTTAGAAAGACATTTTAAAGACCATGTGAAGTATCCCCCGAATTTGTGTTGCTACTCCCAATCCAAAGACACAGTAGAGGGGAAACTGGGTAATTTCATGAATTCTTGAAGTGTCTTAAAATGTTAATGCCTCTGCTTATCCTGCAAATTCAGTGGATTCTTAAAAGTCTACCATCCAGGACTTGTCCATAATCATCTTTGGGAAAAAAAAATTATCTTCAGTTGGCACTTTGCCAAAATAAAGTAACAAGATCCGATGCCAAGTCTGCTCTGGGACTGTGAGTTCTTACAGCATCATAATTGCAGAAAGTTTTAAACTTTCAGAGAAATGTTTCAAACCTGTAGCACTAGTAATTATACAAAAATGACATAAGACATTCAGCAATAACCTTCTCTGTTTGAATCATTCAACCATTCATAATTATCAGAAATGTAAAGCACATCGATTGAAAAACTAGAGACATCCCCGAGGGTATTTCTAATTTTATCCCAATAATTCTCATAATCAATCCCCTTCATGTACAGAAAGCTATACAGGAAACTCAGTGGGAATAGATTGCTTTGTTACTGAAAAGAAAGTTGAAATGTATACAGTAAAAACCTAGAAAGATTTGCCAACTCACACATTTGAGAAAACACAACTATAAAGTATACTTAGCTCCATAAAATCCATGAAGTAAGAATGGAAAGGAACATTAACCCTCTACAAATGTTTTAAATCCTTTCTGCAAAAAGAAAGAATTTCAACAAATCAGTCAAATACTAAAAGGTGCCCTGGATGCTTTTAAGACCAAGACCGTGTGAGTCAACCCCCTACACACAGCCACCTCAGGATACACATGAAAAACCACAGCAAATAACCTAGTATTACATTTCAATGATTTGCAGGTCAGTATAAATATTTTCTTTTAAATGCCAATATTGAACCTTAAAAATATGAAGTCCTGCTGTGCTTGGAAGTGAAGGACTCTTTAGTGCCCTCATGGGGGAGTATGAGGGCTGAGTTCTAGGATCTAGAATCCAGGAAGCAGGAAGCCTCATAGCTGCTCTTGGCAGCATTCTTTCCACAATTTGAGTCAACTGAGGTGTGCTTGAGATAGCTTGGGTGCAAATCAATCTGTGTCTTTGCCACTTCATTTTAACTTGGTTTTGTTTTTTTGTTTTTTGGGTTTGTTTTTTTTTTGAGTTGGAGTCTCACACTGTTGCCCAGTCTGGAGTGTAGTGAGTTGCTCACAGCCACAATAGGCAGGACCTGCTGGACTCAGGCTATCCTTCCACCTCAGCCTTCCAAGTAGTTGGAACTATAGGCACACACGATCATGCCCAGTTAATTTTTTGATTTATTGTAGAGATGAGATCTCGCCAAGTTGCTAAAGGTGGTCTCAAGTTCTTGGGCTCAGGCAAACCTCTCACTTCTGCCTCCCAAAGTGCTGGGATTGCAGGTGTGAGCCACCGCACCTGGCCTTAACTTGGTCTTCTAAAGAATGGTTACTTAATGAAAAAAGACAACAGGAAACATTTGCCCACCAGCACCTTCACTGGCTGGCAAAGAGATGGCCTGAGATTTTCCTTCTATGGGGTGAGCAACCCCCGCTGTGTGGAGTCCAGACCCCTCCTATACTGTGGCTGATTTTGTTTCTCCATTCTTCGTGCCATAAGCTCTTACTGAATACCTACAAACTGCCTGATTGTGAGCTGAGAGTGAGAGATGCCACATTGACTAAGCCCTGGTCACTTCCCTTGATTTGTCTGTCCCCCAGCAGAGTGGGAGCCCTTCAGATGGAAGAAGGGAGGAACAGAACTTCTTGTGCAATCCCCTGTCTTTTCATAGTCTCCCCTAGACCCACAGGTGCCTGAGCATGTGCTTACATGTATGTGCACACACGTGCACACACACACATACCATGTACACACATGTTCCAGCCTTCTCTTCTATGCTCACAACTTCCTAAGTCCAGGTCACATTTGAGATGTTGCACTGAGGGCCCCAGGATAACACATGACTCTGTGGTCCATCAGGACAGACTCATAGGGAAGCAGCCATTCCCTGAGGGAGTCTGGGCACAGAGCGACAGTCCTCAACACACAGCACTCAGGGTCTCTCCACTCACAGGGGGCACCCTGTGCAAATCATGTGCTGAGCAGCCTCCATTTCCCCCTCAGATCCGTTGTTCACACTTCTCCACCCACTGGAAGCCCACCCAAGACGGCTGAACTCTACAGAGTGCATCAGCTGGGTTTCTTTGCCTTCCGACTCTCTGTAGGGTCCAGCCATTAGGGAGCGTTGGAGGAAGAACAGAGTTGAGAGAGGGAATAGAGGAGAAAGAGAAAGGGAGAGATGGAGTGAGGGGGTAGAGGGATGGGGGCGTGGGGGAAGAAGAGTGAGGGAGAGAAGAGGAGGGAAGGGGAAAGAGAGCGAGAGAGGGAGTATCTGTCCCCCTTGCTCCCTCCCTGCCAGGGAAAGCTAGACAGTGACAATGTTCTTCCCAAGACCACAGCTCTCATGGGGGCAGAAGGGGTGGTTCTTTCCTCCAGATACAGATTTCTCTGGGTTCCAGAAACTGCTCCCTCCTCTCACTCCTTCTGTCCTGGAGGTGGTTTTGGCTCTGTTGCTGCCAATCTCACAGTACGACGTCATCTCTAGTTGAAGCCCCTCCACCCCTTAATGCCTTTTTAAAATAGCCCCATTTGTTTTTGTTTTTGTTTTTTTTTTGAGTTGGAGTCTCACTCTGTCGCCCAGACTGGAGTGCAGTGGCCGCTCCCGGCCACCGCAGCCTCTGCTGGGCTCCAGCAATCCTTCCACCTCAGCCTTCCAAGTAGCTGGAATTACAGGCATGTGCTACCACACCCGGCTGATTTTTTTGTGTGTGTGTGATTTATTGTAGAGATGAGGTCTCGCTGCCCAGGCGGGTCTCGAACCCGCGGGCTCAGGCAATCCACTCACCTCAGCCTCCCAAAGGTGCGGGATTACAGGCTGAGCCACCAAGCCCGGCTAAATGCCCCATTTGAATTTTCCTATGGCTTCATGCCAAGTCCCAGCTGATACAGACCCTATGTTTGATAAGTTGAGGTTCCCAGGACAGGTCGCCAAATGCAACATTTAGCATAACAAGTGTCATGGGGGAAAAGGTCAAATTCTCACCCGAAGGCCAGGTTTTCCAGGCAGACCGTCTTCCCCTCTTTCTCCTGGTTCTCCCTGTAAGGAATATAAAGCCAAGTTAACAGGGGAGGGAGATTACATGTCTTTAGTACAAGTTATAGATTGGGAAGGAGAACCACTTGTGTACTTAAGTGGTCCTGAACTCCTTCAGTTCTGTGTGATTGCCCAACCAAAGTCAGTAAACACTGCAGCTCGCAGTATCTCCTGGATTCCATATTCAACAGCTCTGAGTATAATTCATAAAATTAAAATTGAGTAGAATGGACATTCTTTTCTTATGGAGATATTTGGAGTAAAGAAGATGTTGCACAAGTGTTTTCGGGAATACCAAATGCTGGGATAGCCATTAATTGTCCTTTGCTTTAAAGATAAGAAAGAGGAATGCAGAATATTTACATAAAATGTTCATAAAATTGGTCAGGCATGGTGGCTTAACCTGCAATCCCAGCACTTTGGGAGGCCCAGGCGAGAGGATTGCCTGAGCTCAGGGGTTAGAGACCAACCTGGATAACTTGATGAGAACTCGTCTCTACAATAAATCAAAAAAATAAGCTGGCTGTGGTAGCGCATACCTGTAGTTCCAACTACTTGGAAGGCTGAGGCGGAAGGATCCCCTGAGCCCAAGGCTGCTGTGGCTGTGAGCATGCCACTTGCACTCCAGCCTGGGCAACAGAGTGAGACTCCAACTCAAAAAAAAAAAAAGCCCATAAAACTAAGTTAAATCTATACTTATTCTGCATGTTGTCATAACGAAGTTGAGCTTCTAAGTCTGCTTGTTGAATAGGACAACAAATTTTCCCATAATATTCGAGTTGCCTTTAATAGTTGCCTTTCAAAGACTGTTAAAATGCATACCTGAGTCTATGTAGGTTTGCTATGAAAGAATAAAGTTTACTTGTTAAAACATTTGTTGTATAATTGTATGTTTGATATATTTAAATTGTGTCTTTGCTTTCTAATTTTATATTTAACCTCTGACTCTTACCTTAATATCCCTACAATAAGCCCCACCAGAATACTTTTAAAATTGAAGTCTTTTATCATGTTAGTAAAGATATTGGAAAACTTTTCCTCCTTGAAAATATAATAAATACATATTATTATTATTATTATTATATTATTTTAGTTGGAGTCTCACTTTGTTGCCCAGGCTGGAGTGCAGTGGCACACTCACAGCCACGGCAGTCTCAACCTGCTGGGCTCAGGCGATCTTTCTGCCTCAGACTTCCAAGTAGCTGGAACTAATGGCACGTGCTACTATACCCAGCTAATCTGTTGACTTATTGTAGAGATGAGGTCTCACCAAGTTGCCTAGACTCGAACCCCTGGACTCAGGCAACCCTTTCATCTCAGCCTCCCAAAGTGCTAGGATTACAGGTTTGAGTCACCACTTTTAGTCATAAATACGTATTCTAAGAGATTTTTTTTTTAAGAAAAAGGAATCTGCTATGTTGCAATGGCTGGACTCTAACTCCTGGCCTCCTGCCTCATCTTAGCCTGCCAAAGTACTGGGATTGCAGGTGTGAGCCATATTTTAAAGCCCAAGGCTTCCTTCCAAATACTTCCCAGTTACCTAGGAAGAAATAAAGAGCTTTCCTACATCTGACCTCATAAATGCAAGCCTTTCAACTGAGTCCTGATCTAAGGCCCAGGCAACCAACTGATTTTAGAATTCTTGGGTTCCTAAACTGATGCAAACCCCATGAGTACCAACCTTGGATCCTGGCAGACCTGGCAGTCCATTTGGCCCATCTTTTCCAGGTGGTCCCTGGACCAAGAGGGGAAAACATAAAATACAAACAAAAGGCATATTTAGGAAAGTGTTGCATTGAGTTGTTTCAAGCCAGGAGCTGATTTTGCAGCCAGAAACCAGGAGGCTCAGGCCTCCACTCCTCTCTCCAACGTGACTGTGCTTTCTGTTGGGCCATGTATCCCTTACACATTCTGTTACAACTGAGACAAACATCACCATCTAGGCAATGTCAAATGCCCAGTTCTTTGGACATGCACGGTGTGATGGGAAGGGGGAGGACATCTTCCGAATCTTTTTGGATGGTTCCATTTCTGCCTTCAGCTTTCAAGATATCCCTGGGGACAACACTGTCCACTGACTCCTACTCTTTTCTCTCTGGAATCTCTTTGCAATCTTGACTCTCCCTCTCCACAGCTACCCTCCCTTCCTCTTGTGCTTCCAAAATGCAAACTTCCAGATTATTGGCATGGCTTGACATTACTGCCTATTATTTCTAATAGCAACGCTGAGGAGAAACATACTAGATTTTCCAATACAAGGCACTTCCTTTACCATCATCCTTATGATGTAGCAGGATGGATGTTATCGCAGCTGTTTGCAGGTGAGAAGACAAAGGACTTAGTGAGGACTGAGTGACTTATTCAGATTGTAAGACCAGTGATGAAGACCCACAAGATGACAACCCAGGCCTCCTGGCTCCACCTCCAGGATTCTTCCACTACACCAGAGACATTTTATTGTCTCCTTTTGCTCTGTGGCTTCAATGACTTGTCAGGTACAAACACACACACACACACTCCTCTATGACTAATCTAAGAGAAATCATTTTCCCCAACAGAACACTTCTCATGCTATTATTTTGGTAGCTATTAACACTATTAAACAGTTAATGTGTCCTCAACCCTGGTGATTCTCCCATCCACAAAACTCAAGATTCATATCTCCCTGAGTCTCTAGCCTGGACTGCTGACTATTGAAAGGAGAGTTCCACCTGCACAGAGCAGGTGTCCTGGAAACCAAGACTTCTGGAAAGGTAGGAGGAGGAGCTTTTTGGGAGGGGAGGGGTTCAAGGCTACCCAGGCCTTTGAAAGCATGACCTTGACCAAGAAAGAGTAAACACCAAAGCCAGAAGCTGTGCTTCAAACTTTCAGTGGCCACAGCCTCATCTTGATAAACCACGAATGCCTCTGACTACCCCCTTTTTTCTTCCTGTAACACCCTCTCCTCTTTGAACGTTCATACTGATAGACATACTTTCTGATGGACCCATTAGATCCATGAGATTGCTAGTGTCAGCATTCAGAAAGCCCTGCCACTTGTCTAAAATGTTCACTGATGACAGTGCAGCTCATCCAGTGCTCCTTCTGGATATGCATCAGTTTATCAAGTGCCTCTCATGACCCTGAGGCCATGTCCCACACCCTTTGGCATGCTGCCCTTGAGTACATCAGAGCTGGGGATGCTGGTGCTGCGATTGTTGGTCCCTGTGCCCCAGGAGCCTCCATCCATGTTCACACATGGATCTGTGCTCCATGGAGGAAGAGGAGGGAACAGCCATGCACCACCCAATATGCTTCACCTCCACATCCTCCCTTCTCCAGCATCTAAATCCTCCATCAGTTCTGGGGATTACTTAGAAGTCTCCTAACCAGGGCCTTCCCCATTGAGCAGCACCCCCAGGAGAATTAACTGTGAGGAATGCCCTTGAAGTGGAGCAGAGGCCTCCCTAAGGACAGATTGTGGATGGGGTCTTTAAAGTACTTTGTCACATGGTGCAGAGAGCTGCCAGACCACCCATCATTCTGCCCTGAACAGCTGCACATCGACACAGCAAAGAGGCACATCTAGCTTTAACCGTGCCCTTCTTGTGTATGGGACATTAGAGTTTGCTAAGCTCTACTTGCAGGGCTTACCCTGGAGATCTCAGTGTCTCTCTGTTTGCAAGTTAGTAAGCATACTCAGTATAAAAAACGAGAAGAGCATGCCATGTCCTGACCATCGCTTCTGGTTCCCTCTGGGTCCTATAAGGACAAGTGGTCCTTTCAACAGCAAAGGGCTTTTGAATGTGTCTTTGGATGGTCTGAGGAGAGTGGTCCTAATTTGCACCCTGGCCTGGTAGAGAGGCCTGTGGGGAGCCCTCCCTGCAGACAGAGCATGAGGAAGTCTCCACAGAGGGCTAAGTCTCAGGGCTTCAGACCCTGAGGCCCAAGTAGTCATCAGTTCCAGGAAAACAGACCTGGGGCAGCTGCGAGGGCCCAGCATTCCCCACAGAACAATGGAAGAGAGGAAGTAGGAAGCAGGAAGATACCCCGGGGACACTCACCATGGGCCCAGGAAGCCCAGGCTTTCCCGGGAAGCCGATCTCTCCAGGTAAACCCTGAAAAGGGACCACGTGGAAACAGTTAGTCTGACTATTCAGAGAGCAGATCCTTGGCCTGCCTTTTCTGGTCTCTGGCTCTGAGGAGGGCATCTCAGGGCCTGCTGTCCTCAGTCAGTCATGGTGAAACACGGAGCTGTTGAACCTCTAAATTGGCAAGTCTGCTATCTGTCTGGACTGCAGTCAAAGCCACCTCGTGGGATGGATGAACTCACCACCTCTCTGCCCATTCCTGGGTTTGCCCCATCCAGTGGGCAGGTGTGGTTTCTACCCCTGCCTCACCCTCATGGCAACTTTGAGAATACATTCCCAGCAGCTGCCTGAGAGCAGGAAAGGTAGAAAGGGTAAACGCTGATAAACACTGGCCCTGGTCTCTGTTTTTGCTCAAAACCTAAAGGGTAAGCCCAGACTAGCAAGCCTCCTATACCCTCTCTAGAAGCAGCCAACCAAAGTGCTGCATCGGTTCAAGTGATTGTCTAATCTAAGAGGCCTGAAGGTCTGAGAGTCCAGAGTTTCAGGGGTGTCTGCACATGGGGGTCCTCCTGTGATTTTGCAGTGCCCTCAAGCAGAGATAGGACACGCGGCTATATACATAAAAGTGTACCTGGCTCCGAGAGACCAGGAAACCACCAGCTAAGTGCCCCTGTGAGAGAAAATCACAGCCAGTCTTACCGGGGGACCTCCTGGTCCAGGGGGTCCTGGGATACCGGGTGGTCCTGGAGGGCCCTGTGAAGAAAGGACATTGGTGAGTCACAGAAGGGCCCAGACCAGTCTCCTGGGGACAGCTGTCATTTGAGAAGAACAAAGGAAAGGGTACACAAGGATGGGCTTTAGCTGCATTCATCATGCCTTGTTTTTCAAACAAAAAGAAACAAAAGAAAAAATAAAATATTTGAAATAAAATTTATAAAATGCAGTAGTGTCATATTTGGGTAATGGGAATATAACTATGCATTCTCTATTGTTATATATCTAAAATAGTTGAACATTTAACATAAATACATGTGTATGCATATGCACATACATACATGCACACAGTGGGCTAGCCCATGTACACAGATCTTCTGGACCAAAGCTGACAGAATATCAGAATGGCCTGGGTAAACAGCCTGGTGGGTTTCATGCCCAATCCTGATTCTGTAGTTCTGTAGGTCTGTGGGTGGGCCTCACATCTGTACTTGTGAAACGTATCTCTGAGATGCTATGGAGACTTTTATTGGGTTGGGTTGAGTTGAGTTGAGAGGTACATGTGAGGATTTACTACACAAGCGAGTTTTATGCGAGTTCGGACTTCTAGTGGGCCCTCTCTCTTCATGATAGACCCGGTAACCCAGTGTGGTGCCAAGTGCCTCTCCATCCCTCCTCCCTTCCCCTTCCCCTGGCAGTGTTCCCACCCTTGTGTTACTGTTACTGTGACCAGTGATCAGAGCCTGCTTATGAGTAAGAACATGTAATATTTGGTTCTTTGTTTCTGTGACAGTTCACTTAATATGATGGCAGAGACCATTCTTGACAGCCACCCTCCAGAGCTTGATTCATTGGCTATTTCCATCATTCGTTGCCTATGCTGATATTTTTGGGCACCTTCAATGGCCAAGAACAGAAGCAGGTGCTGTGGGTGAACAGAAACATTAGACGGCTCCAGCCTTGATGAAAAGTGAACGATGGAGAGGGAAGAAACATGTAGAAAGAAAATGATGTTAGACAAGGATAAGGGCTTAAATAAGCCTGTGACCCCAGAGCACAGAGAGGCCCCATGGACCAGGTAGGAGGAAGGCAAGGGGACCAGAAAGGGAGCCTCAGTCCTGAAGGGAGCCCAAGAAATTCCCACTGGTCAGGTAGACAAAGCAGGCAGTCAGGAATAGAAAGGCCGGCTGCTGTCCAAGGTACTACATGTTGAACCACAGACAATAGTTCCATATGGGATGTGTAAGCTTGCACGGGGGGGGGAAGGGGGGGCGTAGACCAGGCCAGGACCTCAGAGCTGTGGGTGTCAGGGTGAGGAGAAGGAACCTTCCCATAAAAGTGTGGGAGTAACCGAAGGAGTCTAAGAAGACAAGCGATGGTCACAGGTGTATTTAATTTAGAAAAATGCCTTTCAGTCTGGAAAGACAGAAAGGAGGAAGGAGGACACTGGGCTCTAAGCCAGGGCTAGTTGTAATCACCCAATGGGACCCCAGAAGGAAGAGGGTTTAGTTTTCTGAGTATTTATAGGTTTCCAACAGCCCCACTCAGTGACCCACTCATTTTAGAACATTCAGTTTCTCCCCAGCTGAAGAATCTTCAGCAGCTTCTATTTTCTGATGGATAATGATCTTCCAGATGTGTTCACAACCTCCCTCTTCTCCCTCACCACCACTACTGCTGAGCACTGCTCTACACAACACCTAGGAGGAAGAGAACACTTTGCTTGCTCAGGTCTCTCTCTAGATATGCCTCTTGCCTTCCCACACCTCCCTTCTCAGATGTCTCCATCTTTCTAAAATGGTCTCCAATTCCCCTGGTGGAATTAATCCCTCCCTCCTCCATCTTCAAGGTCAGCTTAACTGTTCTCATCTAACTGACCCACAGCCCTTGGAGGACAAGCCCTTCTTGTTCCTTCTGCATCGTACACAGCGACTAGCCCAGGAAGGCATGGCACCCAGCAGACACTCAGATAATGCTTCAAGAACTCACCTGAATAGAACAGAAAGAACACTGAGAGCTGGGATTTGCATTCAGAAAGAACAATACCACGTGTCCACTAGAGGGCGATAAATACCAAAAAATGGCAGAGGAGGCCGCATGGTGAACTATTTCCCTTTCTCCCTTTGGGGGCACCCGTGAGTCAAAACCTAAGGCATTAAAAAGGGCCCATTCACTGAATTAGGGCTTGGCGGCACCTGGACCCAATTTTCTCTAAGGCTTGCTAAGTCCTGGCCAGTCTAGAGGAGTATCTGCTCCCATGGGAGACCTTTGCTTGCAGCTGGAGCAACTGAGGGACTGGGCAGGGCTGGAAGATGCCCTGGGCAGGAACCAATCTTGGTTCCTTCATATTAGAGCCTCACCCCTATGGTCGATTCAGCCTAACTACACCCACAGGCTGCTGCAGCTCAGCCTTGCTCACTTCTCTTGGCAAAGCAAGGGCCTTGCAGTGACACTCACAGGACCCACCCACTCAGGATATATCCCAGGTAAACTATATTTACTTCAACATGATCTTTGGGGGTCTCACAGCATCCTGACCCCACAGAGCATATCTGAAGGCCCTTGCCACTCATACAAGACAGTCTTTGACAGCAATTTGGCACATCTGGTTGTCTTCCCTCCACCAGTGGGATGTTTTGTGCTCTTTCAAAATGGCGATCCCAGGAAGCTGCCTCCTTTCCAGCCCCTCACTCTGACCTTGTTTCCCTTCCTCCTTCACGAACTCTTCCAAATACTTTGCCCGATTATTGTTTGCCACTTGTGGAGTATCACAGTCAGGAAGAGTTGACAGGTCTTTAGCGATCACACAGTAGGAAATTAAACCTTCTTGATTGACAGTGAGGAAAACTAAGGCCCAGAGACGGTCAGGACCGCACTTGAGGTCGCATAGCTATCATCTCCAGGGAGAAGAGATTTGTGACTTCCAGACTGCTCGGCTGCTGCAGAATTACCTGGCAAGCCCACCACAAATGCAAGTGAACAGTCCCCTTGTTTAGATCCAGAGGCAGCAGGTAGGGGACAGGTCCCAGAGGTCAGTGATATTTGAAACACCAGGTAATTCTGATGAGCTGCTAGGTTTGGGAATGACGCTTGTGTAGGCCCTTCTGTTTTCCACTGTCACCACCACTAGCACAGCTGCTGACTCTGTAAACATAATAACACAGGAAGAAACACAACCGAGGAGGAAGAAGAAACCAGAAATGCAGGAGAGAGACAAGGGCACAGGCACTTTCATTAAGTGTTTGCTTTGCCTGTGTTTCATACAGAGTATCTCATCCTAGCCTTCCCCCTGGTCTTGAGATGCAAGGCTCTCTTTTTTATTTACAATGTTTTGTAGAAACAGGGTTTCACTATGTTGTACAGGCTGGTCTTGAACTCCTAGACTCAAGCGATGCTCCTGTCTCAACCTCCTAATGTGCTGGGATTACAGGTGTGAGAGGCAGGTCTTTTTCATCTCACTTTATAGATGAGAAACTGGGACTTTGGGGGGAAATTTACTGACATTAGACAAAGCCAGCCTGCAGATGCGGTGCTTGGCCCCTCTGCTCCTTTCAGGTCCTGCACCCCAGCCTTGCCAAGTGTCTGCTCAGTTCCCACTTGGGAACGCAGGTTTCATCCCTCTTGTTACAGCCCCTTTCTAACTGTGAACAATTCGATCTCCTAAAAGACTCCCTGCATGTTACAGGGATTAGAACTTCGAGCTTTAAAGCCGGGTTTGAAGATCTCTGAGTCCACCTCCCTGGTGAGACCACAGCACCTGGCTCCATGCTATGCACACAGGAGAGGTCTAATAACCGTCTGCTTGTTTGATGCTGTACGCACAGTAACGAGAGCAGAATCTCACACAGTAATTAAACCTAACAACTGCAGTCGCCATCGATAGAGAGAGAGAAAAGGCTGGAAGCAGCTGGAAACAGCTGTCACAAAGTCTGGAAACCGTTTCCAGGAGGAATCACAAAAATGCACTTTGTTTCCAGCTGCCTTTTCAATTTTTAGGGGATGGTCCTATAAGTCCAGGTGGGAAACACACGGGGCCGGGAGGCAAGAGGGAACAGCCATTGGGATGCAATTTCGGCCAACCTCACTCTGTCTTCTGAGGGCCACAGAGGAATATGCAGAGGCCGTGGGAACCCTAAACAGAGTAACCGCCTCGCCTTGAGAGTTTCCATCCAGCCTCGTCCTTGTCCTCAGACAGTTTCTGCCTCTTGGACCGCAGCTCTGGCAAAAGCTCACTTTGTTACTGAAACAGCCTGGGGCCAGCTGTGGGGAGGGCCGGGGCAGGGGGAGGGAAAAGCAGTGTCCTAAGAGATCTGGATGGTGGGCCCTTCAACCCACAAGCCAGGAAAGTCATTTATATCTTGGCATTCCCCCAACAGGGAGGGGGAAAGTTTGATTTTCTAAAGCACCTGCTACATGCCTGGCATTCCAAGAGGTCCTTATCCATGTTGCCCCATGACTCCTGGACAGTCCCTGTCTCACTATCCAGATGTGAGTTCTTGCACTCAAGGTCCAGATGGGGCAACAGCTAAGAGCTGCAACAGGTCTTCACCCCCGAGGGAGCCAACAGGAGGCCTCTCCCACTTTTCAGGCAAGGGCGTGCGCCTTTGCTTTACCAAGGTGCAGTTTCCTGGTCCCTAAGGTATAATTCTACATTCCTCATACACTTCTGGGAGGAGTGAACACAACAATGCTCCTAGGACAGTCAGTACGGGTCCTACAGCAGTGCCTCCTCCACCATGCTGGCCCAGTTGAGGTCTGAAGTTTCTCAATAAAAATGTCTGACTCAAACTGAATGAGCAGTACAACACCAAAGCTGAGGAAACAGATTCAGAGAAAAGTGGAGAAACTCTCCCAAGACCACACGGGTCCTAAAGACAATGCTAGCTTCAGACATAGCAATATGTGTCTCCAAGATTCCAGTTCTTGGTTTGGACCAGGCAAGGCAGCCTGGGAGACCCTAAGGAGGAGGAGATGGTCAGATAGCTATGGGAAATAGTTGCTTGCCAAGAAGGACCCTGGAAATGAGAGATCAGTGCTCA